GGGGGGGGGGGCGTTATTTTCTCTCCCGTTTACAAACTTGCTTAAGCGACTCCTTTTAACGAAGTTAAGTAATTTTTTTTCGGAACACCCCCCACTCCTACTCATATTGTTGACAAGGCTTAAAGGACTGAAAATTATGACCCCATTTTGTTACATCTTAAAGGCCTGTTTGCTTTGAGTAGGATGAGTCAAGGTAGTTCTCGTTACATTACTCAAATACTAGAGTTGGAATGAAGATTCGTGTGAGATTTAACAAAATTCTAACCGATTGTTTTAGTAAATGCGTTTCTTCCTCTTTGATGTCCACTATAGTTGCATACTTTTCTTTAAAAAAAAACAATGCTGCAAAATACGACGAAGTTGAAAATATTATCATGATATGGTCTTTGTAGATGAGTTTACACCTTTGAACGCGAATTGAACGATTAAAACCTGTAAATTTTCAGCGATAGCCACCATTCACTTGCCTAAGCCAAATTGTGGAGGTGCAGTGATCTACACTAGGTTTGAATAACAAAATTACACTGGTTAACTTTTACCTAAATAGGAACGGTTGGCCAAATGTATTGTATAAGGTTTTCTCAACTCTGAATATTGAGGTGCCTATGCTTTCCTTGAGGCTTCAGATTAATATTCGCTGGCAATAACGCCCTAGCGCATGATTAACCCAACTTTAGGAATTAGTATTTAGTAACATTATTAACCATTTGTAAAAATGCCAGGTCTAGTCAGAAAGCTAAACTTCGGGTATTGGAATTTCCCATTTCCAATCAATACTTAATCACAGGAGCCTATTAGACTAGTAGTAGGATTCTCAAAGGAGGCCTTTTTTGTCCCTGCCCTATGAATGTCGTAATATTATCATTTCATTATTCCGAATACCACCACCTCTCTGGCTGTTGCAAGAATATTGTCATTCGCCGGGCTTGACTATAGTCAGTAGCGTTCTTCTATTCCAGGACAGTGGGATGACTCACCGACCGAGTCTCACTGAATGTAAAAATAGGTTTTGGGACCGAGGTGAATTCTGTCGGGCCCGACTGCTGCAGCGCTTTGATGAGTAGGGAGAGTGTAACTCTAGTGTGCACAAATCTTTTTTGTTACCTTTTCTTGCGAAACTTCTACAGCGTGTTTTTGATGAAAAAAAAATGCTTAACCCCCAAACGGTCGTTAACTCGATTGATCTCTATACTCCCTCTGGTCGCTTAGCCATTGGCTAATTGTAGTTCGTATTTCCGCAGACCACTTTAATACAATTGCCATACTAAGTTATATAGACCTCGGATCCTGCAATTGGTGACTATTTATCTTCGCTAATAGTGTACTCCTTGTAACCCACAAGTTTGAAAGTCCAAATTGAGTTAATTTTGTCTGTTCTTTTTTTGTAGTGCTGGTGCGATGTATGCTGCTGGGACGCCATCTCTTCAAGTTATGTCCTCTCCAGCCATGTTTTCGGGTCCAGACGGATGTCCAACAGGTCTATCATCTCCAGGTGAGTTTTTCCGAGTTATCTCATAATAAGATTAGATTGTGTTTTCCTGTTATTTCCTCGAAAATAAGAGACAAATAAACCGAATGCTTATATCCTAATGAGATCTCCCCAGGGGGTGATTGAGTCCTAAAACTAGTCAGTCATTTCTGTGTGTTTCCCCTCTAGAGACTTTATTGGTGAACTGTGTGTGTGTGTGTGTGCGAGAGAGAGAGCTTATGCCCATTTCAGCCTCACTACCAGGTTGTCCATCTCAGCTCCCATTCCTTTCAACATCATCATCATCAATTACTAATTCGTTTCGCTGGTTTGCAAGAGGGAAGGAGAGGGAGGGGGGGGGGGGGGGGGGGGGGAAGGATGTCGGAAGCATATAAGTGTCCATCTCTAGCATACATGATGCAGTGAGTCATCGCTAAAGGAATGACTTAGGACTCAAATCGAAAACATGTTTCTCTTACTCGCCACCGATGCCTCTTTCTCTTTTATAGATAGAGGGATGGTGGTTTACGGCTTAGTCCGATAGCAATAAAATCAAATGGGTCAGTGAGTAACCGCCTTTCTCAGCCTAGTAATTAAATAGTGCATCTGAGGAAGACCTTTTCAACAAAGAAAATACCCAAACGCATTAAGGTGAGGCATTTTAGTGACATCAATTTTGGTAAAAGGGGTTATGTTCCAAACCGATACTTCTTGGTCTATCTGACAATCAGTAACTGTCTTTTTGTGCTTATTTTCGCAGGTCACAACTTCGCTTCGCTCGCTGGAGGGGATATAGCAGCTCTACAACAGTTGGGTTTGCGACACCAGCAACAATTCTATCCTCCTATTGGAATGATTCATCCGGTGACATGTGGAGACACAACCACAGATAGCGGAAGTCTCTATACAACGCCACCTGCACTTTGTCCGATCCTAGCTGGCACGATTCCGCGTAACAACAGGCACAATGAGAGTCGGTCAGGTTTCTCCGTGGCTTCAAGTGAGGAAGAAGACAATGGTGGCGAAGTCTCCACGAACGAGGCTGAAGATGAAGGAGAAAGAGATGATGAAGATGGCGAGAATATGCGACGAAGACCTCCAGTGGCTAGAGCAGAAAGGTCCTCTGTCACAGCTTCTTCAGCCTCTGAAGGGGCTCAGAGAAATTCTACTTCTACGGCAAATGAAGGCGTAGTAGGAGGTGAGGAATCTATCTCGATTGAAACCAACGAAAATCTCGCCCTCCTTCGACCTAGTGTGACCTCAAATGGGACGAACGGAAGGCGGAAACGTCCCACCAAACATCGTCGACAGCGCAATCAGAATGGAGGCTCATCTAGAACTGCTACTGAAGGTCTCCAGACTAGTAGTACTACTGCACCATTCCCAAGAACCATGCTTCACCCTTCTCAGGCTTTCGTAGCTCAACCATTCTCTAGTGCTGATATGCTAGGTACTGAGTATGCCAGCACATCTTTATTTGGCTCTTCAACTGCTTCAAACCACGGTGGTCTCTCAGGTACCATGAAGAAAGGTTCCTCCTCTCTCCTTGATCCCAGTGGAGGTCAGTACCCCTCGCCCTATTTGCAAAACTGTGGTCAGAACTCTTCAGCTACTGTAGGTGTGAACGGAAATACTTCCTATCACCTCTACCAACCAATCTTAGTTCCGCACCAACAGGCACACCTCTTCCAGAATGCTGTCGCAGCAGCTGGTGGCTTTATGGACACTCATCAACTAGGTGGACTCGTCCAGACCTCTCCCTTCCTTTCACAAGGCGTGTTACATTCCACTGTCCCTCATACAGTAAGTGCTTTGTGCATTGCTCAATATCAAACATTTTAATGAATAAGTTTTTCTCTTCATTACGCTATGATTCACTTGGGATGATGACATTAGACGCCGACTTGAGACAAGTAATTTCATTTTAGCAGCATTTTCTGTGAATTTCTATTATAATCTTGTTGCATATCTGATAGATGGAAATAAGGCGAGCTGTTAGTCTAATTCAAGGGTATGTGATTAATCAATGATACCTAAAAATTCTGCCTTATAATATGATTACTTGATTTTACAAGCAGCAAATAAAATGTCACGGTACAATGCATGATTTCGGAGATTAATCTCTCACCCCCCCTCTCCTCTGTTGCCCATTACCTTTTGTTCTGCTCAGCTGGATTTCCCGCCCATTTTCTGCCGGATAATTCAGGAAATTGACATTTCCCTCTTCTTTTATCTCTAGGCCGCCTATAATCCAGAGGCGTCCATAGCTGTGACCACAACCACGGCAAACGGTGTAGGTGGAGGATGGCCAGTGCAGCAGGATCCAGGTGCTCTCACATCCTCATCAGGGACCCCTTTACCCCCAGTACCGTCTCTTCCCCTACCCCCGAATCCCCATCTCACTAATCACCACGGCCTTCATTATTCCTCAACAAATGATGGCACAAGTTCAGGTCGACTGTCCATCTACTCGGTGTGTATGTAACTAATTCAGAGAATCAAAGAAGAATCGCAGTCATTCCTGATCTCCTCCCCCCCCCCTGATTCTGCAGCTGTCTACCTCGTGGTCAATCTAAATAACTTTAATATCCAATTAATTTACTCTCCCCCTGCAAACCCAACTACCTGTTGTGTACCGAGTGTCCGATTGTGTATATTTTTTCTCTTTCACTATCTTTTCAAAAGACGCTACTTTTGTGTGCGGGTGGTTTTACACCCTCCCCCCCTGAGCCTGTGGGCTAAATTCCCAAATTCCCACTCATCAATATGTTGCCATCATCATTCTGCACCCACACACAAAGAAGCTTAAGAGGTTAAGGGCTGTATTTTGCCTATCTGTACCGGATTGTATTTGATCCCTACAAAACAAGCGAGCGATTCCCTTCCCTGCCCTATTTGTTCTATTTCGCCGAGAATATGGCGTTGCCACCTCATCTTTCTCTTTGAATAAAGCTTTAAGATGAAAATACTAGCTTTAATAATGTCTCCTTCGAGCAATTGTAAGGTAGGAAGCGGAGATAAAATGCAACGTCTCTGGCTCTATAAGATTGAACTGGTTCGCTACTACTTATTTGGTATCTGAGTAGAATATATAGCTAAAAAATTTCCTCATCCCCCCCCCCCCCCCCCCCGAGAAANAAAAAATTTCCCCCCCCCCCCCCCCCCCCACCGAGTAAATAGGGTTTAACGCGTACATGTTTGTTGATTTGTCTTGATGGGCGTGTGTTCAAGCGATCTTTTACACCTCACGGGTGTAATCGATGAAATCTCGTTTAGTCTTCGTATGCGCGTAGTCTACTACCACGATTAGGCTAAATTCATGTATCGGTGGTCGTAGGTGTGTCGAACAGCTTTTTGAAATCTTTCTGTTATTAATCATTGAGAGGCGGGGGGGGGGGAGGGAGGCAAAGTGATTAAGAGGTAATCTATCATCTTTAACTTAAAGGTCGACTTTCGTATCTGTCCTGTTCCGCTTCCGATGGGTGAAATCAGTCTGCGACTGTCATTCGTTAGGACGCTAGTTTCTCACATCAGTTTTGTGTGCGACAACATGATACGTCACTTCGCATTTCTTCGTTCCCAATTCGATTAATTACAAAGCAGGAATTTTACGTGGGGCCCCACGATGTTGGAAACTAGAATCGGAATGATAATGTTTCATATTGTTTGCGAAACATTTAATAAATTGCCATTACAAGGTCATTTGATAGTGTGTTCGGTCTTTCACACAGGATATGAGACGAGAAGCCTAAGACAAGGCATCATAAAGCTCCGCTTAATTCGACGCATAACCCTCTTCGGATTATGGCATTCTGAAACATAGTATTTCGTTACCAATTCTCCTGGCATTACGGAAAATTTGTAAAGACTAAATAGGTTTAACGTGAGTGGCTTTGGTAAGCCGCAGGTCACGTGATACCTCGCTATACCGGTTAGAGATGAAAAATCCGAGTCTCTTTAAGGCTAGTGACGAGAACACTTTCCCGAGTAGAGCGTTAGGTACTTTATTCAGATGTCGGAATTGTTTCATTTCCTTAGGTATGAGCATAGAAGAAGGTGAGCAATCCGCTGAAGGTCTCTACACAAATCTGATTTGGGATAGTCCTTACTTTCGTTCATTTACTTTTATCCACCCCTTATCTGTAAGGGCGATCAAATTACTTTCATAGTCCATCAACAGCTTTCCTGAATTTGATGATCGGAGCTTATATTTCCAGGTCTGTAAAACTGGGGTTTTAAAATTCCTTCCCAAATTGTTCAGCAAGATGCATTGGTGAGAGTGTTTGTCTGGAATTTAATTTATTTTAGCTTGGTAGAGTTGCGAATATGCGCCCAAGGATTGAGAATAACCGCGCGCTTTTACTTTTGAGTTGGAGCGAAGAAATTTACAGTGATGGTAAGCCGATATGGCTTTATATGAATCTTCACACATCTCATAATTATTGAGCTATGTGCTGGCGTAGATATTGTGCTTTGTTCGTCCATGGTTCTTGAAATATTTCCACCTAATTGAATAATGGTTGTTGTTCAAAATGGCTCATAATCGCAAGTTGTCATATATTCGCAACCAACGAGTGCTCGCTTTCGAAAGATTCATATCAGCATTAGATCAAATATGTGTGTCATCATCGCGTCCCAGACATATTATATATATATATATATATATATATATATATACAATTTCAGAACAGCCACCTGTATTAATAACAAACTTTTTAAATGCTATCGGCTTCATTGCTCCAAAACATTGAGGGGTTGGATTTCTTATGAATTGACCAAATTTGTGCTGTTAATTTTTTTCTGGTATATTCATAAGAGACAGAAGAGCTAATCAGCTAATCTCTCTTTTTTTAAAAAAATTTGAGGGGACATGTTTGCAACCCCATTTTTAACCAGAATAAGTGGTGTGGGCTGAGTAAATGCGTCTTAACCAGCGCGTATTAAAATGATTAATTGTGGATATTATAAGCAAGAGAAAAGATACTGTAGCCCCCCTTAAAATGGTAATCACAAGCTTTAATTTATTCACATCAATGGCACCACAAATTAGCCATCGTAATGCACAAGAAGATGTGATTATTTGGGCGTTAAGAGAGCGAAGTCTGTTTTGCTGGCCATAATACTGGAAAAGTCCATCTAATTTAAAGTCAATGTTCCCAAGACATGAGGTGGTCGATTCCAAACAACACCAATCGCTTAGGTCCAAGTCTGAAAAGTGATTAGCGCTCTATCACGCATATATCACAAAAGACGACTAATTTATTATTCACAAATATCCACGGCTCTTTATCTCACAGATCTTGTCCTAACACCACAAAGTAATTATGACCCTCCCCCTGTGGGTGCATTGGAATTTCGAACTCAAAAAATCCCTCGTTATCAACCAATCAGCGGTCAACAAGTTATCAGAGCGGTGGCTCCGGCAGTTGCAAACCTTGTGATTTCATTCTAACGCAGGGATTGCCATATGCTTTTTTCGTGTGTCGGAATAGATCAAAGAAATGACCAGTGAGCTGGCCAAAATACGCGTTACAACAGTCTATTGTGTCTATGAGTTCATATGCAACAGTACATTATAACTTTCGATATACCACTTGTCTACACATCCACAACCCTAATATAGAGCGAATAGCTGACTGTTAATATGCGAACACGGAGGGAGGGAGAGAGAGTAGAGCATGTTAGAGCTCCAGATACACACCATCATTATGACTCAGACGGGAAGGCAGACAGACAGTACCGCCATATATAAAGAAACTTAATTACCGCGCTACGTTTAAGCCTTAGGTAGAAAGTGGCCTTTGGCTGATAGGTGGCCAAGATGTTTTTGTCTGGAACGGAGTTTATGCCTGATTAGCAATTAATTCCGACTTTCGGTCATAAAGGAAGATAATGAGCTTGAGCACCACAGGATGGTGTCTCAAGGGTAGTGGAAAGAAGTCAAAAGAACCAGATATAACGAAGTAAAAGACGCTTGAATGCTTTTTTAAATGCAGGAAATTGGCAAGTACATTCTGGGGATATCTATAGTTACGAATGTTAGTGTATACCCATAGAATGGGTTGGAGTTAAGGCCCTCTTAACATTCATATGTAACTTTCATTTCGAATGAATATTTGCCAATTCTACTCCGGAGAAGCTTGGAGTGAAACTTTAATGTGGGATAAGTCCTCGATGTCAACTGATAGGGAAGATACGGTGCTTCCGAGTGGCTGGAGTGTTAATTCCTTGCAAGATCAACAAACTTTTAAATATTCAAGAATAGGCTAACTTTTCGCCACACTGTGGTGTTGGAATGCCATTTGTATGAACGTAAATGCTCTGATGGATCACTTCCAAACTGCTCAGATCCAAGAGCGAAGACCGAGGAGAATTCAACCACCAACACTCCAAGTCACAAAATTTGTGTCATGGCCTTGAGCAAATACACGTTTAACTCCATTTTCAAAATATTTAATGCACTTAATTTTATATAAATATGGGCAGTGAATAGCAATACTATCTGACTTGGGTCTACCATTCCCAGAATATTCAATATATCCCCTTTAAATATTGATTTTACATCTAGCATGTACCTCTATCCTCTTTTTTTCCATAGCTATCACTAGAATTGACATTGTTGTTGTGGTACTCGTTTCACAAACGCATATGATAGATTGCTTACTTAATTACCTCCAATGTGCCAATTACTGAATGCTTTGTCGTCAATTTAATTATTCCTTCCACTTGCTAAGAATGAGTATATTTGAGTACTGCTACGGTGAATTTAATCCATCATTTCAATTTCCCATTTAGTTCGTTTTTCTCACTTTTAAGTAACTTGAGAAAGGTGCAAATAGTAAATTCAATTAAATATTGACAGGAAGCCCTTGATATATTGCACTGACTGGTGAAGGATAAATTCTTTCATTCAAAATTTTCCCATTTGCCTATTGGAATTCATGCAGTTATGTTTTCACTGCCTGCTACTAAACAAAGGCATATATCTTCTGAAAAGAATGAACACTTTTGTTGGAGATTTTTGCATTAAGAATATGCGCTAGAATTGCAAAGACTGATTTTGATAAATACGAAATGTTGGAGCTAGATCTGCTTTTGCTTAGAAATATAAAATATTACTAACGTCAATATCTTAGACCTTATCACCAAATTTAAATCAAACCACCAATGGCCCACTCAGCCAGATTTTTTGTGCAATTGGTAGCTTACGTGTGGCTATTAGCAGTGGTTCTAACTACTGCTGAATGGTGGTGAACCCCGTTGGGTTAAAATAACTGCAATATTATTGGGCAGAGGTAATTGCCTATGGAATCGCTTTTCTAATTGCTCGTTGCCGGAACCAACTTACTAATGATCCAAGGAAAGAGATGCATGTGACAAGTCCTTCTATGATCATGGCCTTCGGAATGAAACATACTGATGTTTGAAAGCAACGCCTTAATTAGTTTCAAGGATTTTAAAAGCCCTCACAAACTGAAGTCCTTCATTTCATTGCGCGGCCAATCAAATTTGGGTAAATATAATGAAAGTCCCAACTGAACTTCAAGCAGACTGACATAAACCTGGGGAACAAGTAAATTGCATGGGAAACGTCAACTCATTTCAACATTAGTTTGATAATCACCTTGGCATTTTAGTTCAATCAACTAAACACATTCATTATTCCAGTGGTTAGCTTTAGACAGGGGACAATTGTAATGAGTCTCTCTTAATCAGCTGTGCAGTTTGAAACTAGGAATCAATGTTTCTGTCGTTTGGAGAATGAAAGAAAGCCTCCCACCTCGTCTGGCCTATTTTTGGTTGGATAAACTTCTGAGCCTATTTCTCTGAGTGGGAGAGGGCGAGAGAGAGAGAAAGAGGGAGGTATTAGGATTTATGCGAGTCGGTCGTAAGGCAATAAAATCGCAGTTGGAGAATAAAATAGCAGGGTGCTTGATCTTTCCCAACGTGACTTTTGAGTATTGATGAATGAGAAAAAATTGCCTATACATTAAGAAGGGAAGTACTGTTTATGTAGGAAGACCTTCACTGTGAACATAAATGATTAAAATTAACCATATCAAGGACCATAAGCCTTGTTTACTCTTAAAAAAGCGTAAATGTTCGGGATTAATGTAAAAATGCCATCTGAAACTTCTGTGTGCCATCCACACTAATTCTAGTAGTGTGTTGGCTCAATTGTGACTGAATGGCGGACAGAACAGCAACCGCATTGTCAACAGTGTCATTAAGTCCGATCACCTTACCTTTGTCATCAAAAGTGGCACATTAAGATGCTTCTCAAAAGTGCTTTAGATATGTTTTAGTTTTGGGAGTAAGTTATTCCGATACTTCTGACCAGTATTGACTCCACCCAGGAACAATTTAAACATGAAGCTAAAGCCTATAGACGCTTAGTATGACACACAAGTTAAGCCATGAAGTTCCACAAGAATTGGGTAATGAAATTTGGATCAATATTGGACATGACTTCATTGCTTTAAAATCTTGATCTCTAAGGATGTCTCGAATATTTTACTCCTGTACAAGTATTAAAGTACGCACAAATACAAAAACTACGAGTAAGAATCATCGGGATGTTGGGGAACAGAGAATATGAGAAGAGGATTACTTATAAGTTGGCTTTTATATAATGGACACAGTTCTTTGTTTCATTTCCTGACAGTAGATTTTGGGGTAAATTCACGTTCACAATGTCCGATATGCTTATCAGTTTAACCGTCGATATGCTTAAAGCATTTCTAATTTTTTTCGAATTCTCACTGTCGATTCATGTAAGCCATCACGACATGGACATGATCGAATTCCTATATCGACAAGTGTGTCCCATTTTCCTTCAAATATGTTGTAATATAATACAATACGCTAAAGATAAAATATGCCATTTTTTGATGTCTTTCAGGGAAATCTTCCAATAAAGCTACAAGGCAAGCTAATGAAATGGTATGAAATTTTAAGAAATCAAACTGTTTATTAAAAAATGCTTACCTAACGTATGCATTTAGCAGCAAATTTAACGGTTCTCTCATGTGGATTGCGTTTGTTTTAATGCTTTTTAGATGGGAATAATATAACTGCAGGGGTTTTTACATTAAAAAGCGAAAAGGTAAATATGTTGAAATCGAAGATATCAAAGTTATTTTGCTGAGTTTAGAAAATATTAACGAAAGAATAGGCAAAACCTTCAAAAATACTTTTCATTCAAGAAACTCCCTCCACTTCATTGTAAGGACACGATTCTTTAAATCACCTAAACTTGCTGCAGTAAGCACAAAAAAGGTATCTATTCCTCAAATTAATAAGCAGAATAAAGCTCAATTTTCTGGCCTCAAACTCGACGGGAAACGTGGGTGTGAAAAAAGTCACTGTCAGTCTTGAGAGAAATTTGATATTAAGAGGAGGGCGGGAGAGAGAGAGAGTTAGAAACAGAGATTATTCAATGCAAAATAATCAGTAAATAACGGCTGATTACCTGAAACGCAACTGTATCCCCTTGCCTGTACCACTTCTATTAAGTGAACTTGATTGAACACAAGCAGAATTTGAAGACAGTATTTAAGATAAATTCAACCAATGTGGTTTATTATCATATTATGAGAATGTGTTTAAATTAAGTGAGGTCTTCAAGTGCAGTTTTGCTAAGGCCTCTATTCAGAGCCTACAATTTGGTATTATATGTGGAACAGCAATAAAAAATGAGGTATAGAGATAAATGCGCAAAGTGTTCTCTGAATTAATAGTTCATTGGTAAGTAGTTGGCGTTAAGGCGGTGTCAATTCACGTAGATACATCAGACAGATAACATTTAAACAAAGAGTAACGATATTGAATTATGAGAAATGTTCCGATAATAATTGGGGTGCAAATTCATTAAAAAGAGTTGGGATTACAAAATTGTGTCTTTTATATTAAAATTTTGGAAATTGAAAATATTGAATTGAAAATACCAGAGACAATGCAGAAGTCGAAGGGATTCAAATTATTAAAATGATTTCTTTTGAACGATAACAGAACGGAATCGACATTATGTTGGTTAATTAAAAATGTGGGTTTCTTTCCAATACTTGCGTCTTTAATTACCAAAAGAAGTAACGAATGCATTATTTTATGAGATTTCAAATTTCCTTTCTGGCAAAATCTCTAATTAGAGAAGTTCGATAAACAAAATGAAAAGCTGAAACAGATTGATTAAATAAAAGTTTCTTATATTTGCTGGGGAGTAATAAGAAAGGAATTTATTTATTGCTTGACTTGTAAATGTAAATGGGATGTAGAAGCTGTAAGAACTTAATCTAATCCATTAACAAAATCAGATGGAAATGCCATAATTTGGATTTTGTGCACAAATATTTATTTATTTCAAATGGCAGGCTTTATGACAGCTATCATTAGCCCTTTAGGTGATTTCGCACTTCACAGAGGGGAGGAACATCAAAATGAGAAAAATTCACG